AGCAGTTTATCAATTTTAGTAATATAAAAGAAGAGAAGAATTACAGGAGATAAAATTAAAGAAATTAATTACGATATGAGTATTCTCGTTCGAAAATACCAATGTGCTTACGTTAGAAACTTAAATCGGCTGATACTAAACATTAAATATAAGCGTTTACTTACGTTATTTGTAGTAACGATAGAACTTTGTAAAACGACAACGGCGGAATGGATACAACACAAAGAATGTAAACAACTACACTGACCACTAGGGTAAGTGTCGACAATCGATGAACGGATGGAAGTTTACGCACGTATGGATAGCAATATTCGACACCAGAGGCTTCAGGGCTTCCCAAATTTGTACACAATGTTCCAAACAATACCTTATCACGGTTCGGTCCCCGTTCTTAAATTATTTAGATCATAAGAAATACACGGACACGAATTTATTATATTTTTAATCTAAAGAGAACGGCAAGTATCAAGCAGTACAAACACAAATTAATAGGTTATGTTTGCACCAACAATATAATTATGAAATTATTAAGGATATTAAGTTTAACTTTGAAGAATAATTAATATTAAATCTTAATGATAAGAAACATGTTTAATAAATATTATATTATACTAAGAACATACACTCTGATATCATATGAATTTGCATGTAGGTATAGGAAAAATATAGATACCTACTAACTTATGTATTATGAATACTCTATTAGATTAGAATATTATTAACCTACGGTGGATAGGTAATGAACATTTAGGTGCGTTATCTATAAAATCGTTCTTGTTTTAGCAGTTTATCAGTTGTAGTAAGTAATATAAAGGATGAGAAGAATTACAGGAGATAAAATTAAAGAAATTAATTACGGTATAAGTATTCTCGTTCGAAAATACCAGTGTGATTACGTTAGAAAGTTAAATCGGCTGGAAACGAACAATAAATATAGGCGTTTACTTACGTTATTTGTAGTGACGATAGAACTTCGTAAAACGATAACGAGGGAATGGGTACAACACAAAGAATATAAACATCTACACTGACCATTAGGGTAAGTGTCGACGGATCGATGAACGGATGGAAGTTTACGCACGTATGGATAGCAATATTTGACACCGGAGGCCAAATACAATAAGGACAAACAAAATAACGGCTAGCAGTTGCAACTAGACACTAAAACTAGCAACTTCCATTAGAATCAATCGATCAATGAACGGACGTAAATTAAATTCTTAGTTACTGGTAACATAAACAAAACAATAACGAGAGCAACCACGATATAGACGATTTTAGTGATTACGTTAAGGAGGACTGATAATGTCAACTGCTCCAGACCAAATTTTATCACGGTTCAGTGCATGGTCGTAGAATTTTTAGGTTATAAGAAATACATGGAAAGGAATTTATTATATTTTAAATCTAAAGTGAACGGCAGGCATTAAGCAATAAACACAAATCAATAGGTTATGTTTGCACCAACAATAAAATTATGAGATTATTAAGGATATTAAGTTTAACTTTGAAGAATAATTAATATTAAATCTTAATGATAAGAAACATGTTTAATAAATATTATATTATACTAAAAACATACACTCTGATATCATATGAATTTGCATGTAGGTATAAGAAAAATATAGATATCTACTAACTCATGTATTATGAATACTTTATTAGATTAGAATGAATTATTAACCTAATGTGGGTAGGTAATGAACGTTTAGGTGCGTTACCTATTAAATCATAAAATCGTTTATATTTTAGCAGTTTATCAATTTTAGTAAGTAATATGAAGGAATAGATGAGATCACAGGCTGCTGATTGAATTAAATTTGTAAGGTTTTGGGCGGCAATTTCTATATTTTCTGGTGATTTAAGCCTAGTTTTTAAATCAATATTTTGATCTTGATTGTCTCTTAATTTCTCCCAGTTCATAATACCGTCATTAAGACAGGCTTGCTTTGGTTGGGGTAGAGGTTGGACATCTAGTGTTAAGAGAACCGGAAAATGATCCGAACATGGGTCGAGCAAATTTTTTATGGAATGAGAGATGTTATTCGGAATATGTACTACAAATATATCCAATATATCGGGGCGTTTTCTTGGGGATGCTGGCCAGTAAGTTGGATTAGTGGGGGATAAGAATATGAGTTTTTTTATGTTTATTAAATGATATAGGGCTTGTCCTTTTGGGTTTTGTGTATGACAGCCTCAAGTTGGGTTTTTTGCATTTAAGTCGCCACCAACTAAGACATAACGTTCAAGAGACATGAAAAATTGTTGATACTGAAATGTGGTTATTTTGTGTTTCGGAGGGCAATACGTTGCTGCTATAGAGATTGATATGTGGTTTGTTTTGAGTGTAATTATTGCTGCTTGTGAAAAATCTTCATTTATTGTAGGACAAGTATTGAATTGTAAGGAGGATTTGATGAGGATCGCAGAACCCGCATGTGCAGTGGTGTCGGGGTGGGGTGCAGATATTAGTTTGTAACCAGGAATAGAGAATTTAGTGTTTGGTGTGAAATGAGTTTCAGTTATTAAGGCTATGTCAATTATTTTTTCATAGAGTATTGTGATAAGTTCGTTTTTATGGTTTTTTAAGCCGTTGGCATTCCACAAAAAGATAAGTAGGGACTGGGGAGTGAATGAATTATTTAAAATTGTTGGATAATAGGCGGTCGAGGACTGTTGTGAGGAGGATCAACTGTGTTGATCAACCGATCAATTTTTAAAAACTTTTACCACATAAACTTATTAATATAAAAAATAATTGGAAATATTAGTGATTTTTGTTTATTGAAATATTATGTTTTATGTATTGATTTAATCACAGTTGTTTGCAATACCTACTTGGGTTATTTTTATATGGGAGTGTAGCTATTAGTATTATTACCTATATTATTTTTTGGATTATTTAGTTAATGTTGATCTTTTTATTATAATTATTTAATTTAGATCAAGAGTCACTAAGTTGGGCGCCACTTTGTAACAACCTAAAAAGGGGGGGGGTTTATTAGGTAGGTGCCTATTCGGATGTGAATGGCGAATATCCCCTTTTTATGGCATTACCTTTTCCTATTAGAGGAAGTACAACCGGGGTCATGAGTGTATGGTATAAATGCTTACCTGCCGCGAACGGGATTATGCCTTTGAGTAGCAAAGTTCTGAGTGTGAAGAAATATACGTAACGTGTATTTTTATCCACGTATACAGTTTACAATAATTTAAAGTAAGGAAAAACTATTTAAAATAATAAAAAGTAAAACTAAATAAAATAAAACACGACAATCGCCCTATATAAGTTTAACAGTTGGACATGGTTAGTCGGAGCCTAAGTCTATGTTAAGACTGGATGGTTATTAGATTGTAAGCGAGGGGTTTTATAATATTTTGAAGTGAGATTGTCGTTATTGTTTATTGATTTAAATGATATATAATATGGTACATAGTTATACAGTATAATTATTTTGCTTTTTTACAGATATATGAAATAGTAATATAGTTTTGTGTTATAATACGAGGGCTAATCAAAAAATATCGAGACTGGTAGTATCATTCGGAAAAGGAGAATCGAAGAGCAGTAGGATTGGTATCACTTGCTTCTATGACTTTTTCTGAGTACTTTTGTTTTTATTGCTTCTCTATAAAATTCTTCGGTTTGATTTCACTGATATTTTTGTAAAATATATTTTTCGAGTTTAGCGATTTTGTAATAAACCCAAAAGAAGAGTAACTTGACAGATTTGGAAAATTTGATCAGAATCTAGAAAATTCGATCTAGAAAATTTGCCTGCATTTTTTTCCAGTTTCAGAGGGATGCAACATTTCATGGTTTTTGCCATAAAATATCAATTGAAAAACTGAAAATGTGCCCTCGAGTGGCAGCAAGTTCCGCTTCTTATGGATTCATTGCGAAATCGCCAAACGTAAAAAATAAATTTTAGAAAAATATCGTCAAAACAAAACGAAGAAGTTTATAGAGATTTTATACGAATAGATGTGCTTAGTATGAGTCATAGAAGCTAGGTTTACAAATCGATTTGCTCTTCAACGCTCGGTTTCCGAGTAATATATTTGATAAGCCCTCGTATATTGATTTACGATTTTGTGATTAATTTTAAATGTATATTGGATTATCTTAATAGTGTGTTCATTTATTTTGCGTATGGTTTATGGTTCATGCATTAGACTAATTATAATATAGTAAAGTACGGTAAATCTAATTAATATATAACAAATAAATAAAAAGGAAGATAAAACGAAAATAGAGTAATTAGTAGTATTACTACTAATATTATGTTGATGATGATACACGAGTATCATAACAGTACATTAATTGGATTTTCTTTTCGAATAGTTAACTGTGCAATTTGGTAAGGTTCTAATCGTATCAAATAATTGGCTGTGTTCATTAGTATTTCCTATTGACATCCGTATAGGTATCCACTTTACGTTGGACAGCAGTGTGTTATCTACGAGTTCCATACATATATAAATCGGGTAATTTCGATCACGCATAACATAAGACACAAATGACAAATCAGATAATTTGGTTGCCTTGAATGAACTATTGTTAAATTCATTCGCTTCATTTATATATTTTTCATCGTCTAAATAATGTAATTCTTTATGAAGCGATTTAGCACATGGTAGGTCTTTTGCCCCATCATTTGATACAGTTTTATTATCTAAATAAAACTGTGTCGTGATATCCTTACCATTTATTATATCATTAATAAAGGCTGGTTTAGTTTGGTTATCTTCATCTGATTTCTTTTTAAATTGAAATCGCCGACCGTTATTATCTAAACGCATATTTGTTTCAGATAAACTTCCTTTATCTGATTCTACGGTTTCGCCAGTTCTCATTGAATAGGATTGATCATTATCGGGTTATTCCTCCTCAATAGTTATATGTACAATTAGGTTTTTAACATTACTTATACTATTTCAGCATGATCAAATGGCCTATTGAACTTTGGATCCATTGGATTTTTGGACCTGGGATCCATTGAACTTGTTTTACAGCCAAAACCACGGTGATTCTTAGGCGTAGACGATAAGATTAATTCTTCAAATACAAAACGATAGTTCGACATCCTGACATTCTCGCTTGATGAAGAAAGGCGGTAAACCGATGACGACTTCCAGTGCGATAGAATAATGTCGAAATGAAAGGAGAAGTCTCCCATGAGAAAGAAAGGGGAAAATAGTGGAGTGGTATTGTCCGGTTTTCGTTATCGTGTTTTATTATTATATAATATATTTAACTGTAATACTTACTATTTGTATTAATCTAAATTGATTTGTAAACTAATAAATTGAAGTGGAGTCCACTATAATAAAATGTAGTGTAGATATTATTAATATTTTACAATATTATGTTGAGATGTATACCGTTTTGTATATATCATTACATACGGAAACCTCTCGCCGGTTTTTTTTTTTCACGACACCACGGATCTTTCCCAACGCACTTCTCGACGAGCCCGCGCATGATTTTCATCAAGACTTGCGTCCTGTGCTAATGAAGTTCAATGCGATGTAATGCGCGCGTAATAACGCGCGCAGTACGCACCGCGTCTTTCGGGCCGAAAACGACCCGCGGTAAAATAATAATAGGACAATAACAATGAACGGCCGCGGGTGTATTATTTTACCGCCGTTTTTACCTATTCGTTTCTCCTCTTGGTAAAACTCTTCCATGTATAGAATTCTCCTTTCAGATATTCTATTGTCATATTAGCGGAAAGATTGATTTCCCTACTATCCTATTTCTCATCAACTTTAATGTCCCATCTCGATCCACTCTCTCTCATTCCACATTCCACTCGAGTCTACAAATTTCCTCGAGAATTGCTCTATCAAGCGTTTAATGCGCACCGCAAATAACCACCTCTTCTTTGTTTGAAAACTAAAACTATAAATAATTATGATATATATTTTTTCTTAATTCATTTTTCCTTTATTATATTGTTTTTGGTTATTTTTCTTTTTTTATTTGTTTGTTCATCTGGTCACCTGATTATAAGTTAAATCAATATTCATCATTTGTAATTGGACCTAGGTGTATGTAATATATAATAAATAAATAATTTCATCAAACACCGTTGTATATTATCTATCGTTGTGGAATTTCGGATTTTCCATTATATACGAGTACAATNGGGGGGGGGTGGCGGATGGGAGGGTGAGTCTCTGTCTCGCATCGTCGTTTTCGCGATCGGCCGACGTAAAATAATACGTCCGCGGCGGTTTATTGTTATTGGAGTTATTATTATTTTTTATACGCATTGTACTTCATTAGCACAGGTCGCAAATCCTGACGAAAAGCATGCGCAGGATCATCGAGAAGTGCGTTAAGAATAAGCCGCAGTGGCGTGAAAACAAAAACCGGCAAAATAATTCGGTATGTAATGATATAAACAATATGGTAAGTATCATAATATAATATTATAAAATATTAATAATGTCAACACTAAATTTTATTATAATGGACACAACTTCAATTTATTAGTTTATAAATCAATTTAGATTAATACAAATAGTATGTATTATAGTTAAATATCTTATATAATAATAAAACATGATAATGAGAATCGGACAACACCACTCCACTATTTTCCCCTTTTAATCTCAAAAGAGACTTCTCCTTTCATTTCGACACTATTCTATCGCACTGGAAGTCGTCATCGGTTTACCGCCCGTCTTCATCAAGCGAAAATCTCGGGAGGTCGAACGATCGTTTTATATTTGAAGAACTAACATTATCATCTACTCCTACGAATCACCGTACATTTGGCTGTAAAACAACTTAAATGGATCCAAAGTCCAAAATGCCAATGGATCCAATTTTCAACAGGCCGTTTGAATATGGTTGGAAAAGAGAGGTGGTATATAGGACCAATGGAAATGCAATTGATATATATTACCGTACACCAGATAAAAAGAAACTAAGATCGAAACCGGAAGTACGTGAATATTTAAAGCAAAGAACGCGATTGAAAATAGAGAATTTCACGTTTAAAAGAAAAGCCCTAGGTTTAGACAATTCCAAGGAAATATGCAGAAACGCTTATTCAACTGAAAGAGCTGAAAATAATCGTGGTGGAAACGGTATAAATAATGAAAATTATTTTTAGAAAACCGAATTGTACAGTTAACTATTGAAGAGAAAAGCCCAATAATGACCGATCCTCTTCTACGAGTACTGGCAAAACTGTAGAATCAGATAAAGGTAGATTGACTGAAACAAATATGCGTTTAGATATTAACGGTCGGCGATTTCAGTTTAAAAAGAGATCAAATAAAGAAAGCCAAGCTAAACTAGCCTTTATTAATGATATAATATATGGTAAGAATTTCCCTACACAGTTTTATTGAGATAATAAAACTGTCAAATGATGGGGCAAAAGAATTTTGCCCCATCAAGAAATCTTTTTTCCAGCCAAAATCAAATGGCCTATTGAACTTTGGATCCATTGGATTTTTGGACCTGGGATCCATTGAACTTGTTTTACAGCCAAAACCACGGTGATTCTTAGGCGTAGACGATAAGATTAATTCTTCAAATACAAAACGATAGTCGACCTCCTGACATTCTCGCTTGATGAAGACAGGCGGTAAACCGATGACGACTTCCAGTGCGATAGAATAATGTCGAAATGAAAGGAGAAGTCTCTTTTGAGATTAAAAGGGGAAAATAGTGGAGTGGTGTTGTCCGATTCNACGATAAGATTAATTCTTCAAATACAAAACGATAGTTCGACATCCTGACATTCTCGCTTGATGAAGAAAGGCGGTAAACCGATGACGACTTCCAGTACGTTAGTATAATGTCGAGATAAAAGGAGAAGTCTCCCATGAGAAAGAAAGGGGAAAATAGTGGAGTGGTATTGTCCGGTTTTCGTTATCGTGTTTTATTATTATATAATATATTTAACTGTAATACTTACTATTTGTATTAATCTAAATTGATTTATAAACTAATAAATTGAAGTGGAGTCCACTATAATAAAATGTAGTGTAGATATTATTAATATTTTAAAATATTATGTTCAGATGTATACCGTATTGTATATATCATTACACACCGAAATCTCTCGCCCGTTTTTTTTTTCACGACATCATGGATCTTTCCCAACGCACTTCTCGACGAACCCGCGCATGATTTTCATCGGGACTTGCGTCCTGTGCTTTTGTTTTGTTTTTTTTTATTTTTTTTGGTTTTTTTTTTTTTTTGGTTTTTCGTTAATTTTCTTTTTTTATTTGTTTGTTCATCTGGTCACCTGATTATAAGTTAAATCAATATTCATCATTTGTAATTGGATCTAGGTGTATGTAATATATAATAAATAAATAATTTCATCAAACACCGTTGTATATTATCTATCGTTGTGGAATTTCGGATTTTCCATTATATACGAGTACAATTTAAAAAAAAAAAAAAAAAAAAAAAAAAAAAACCTTTTCCACGGCGAAATTAAATTTTTCGGGTAAATATACTGCTGGACTACTGTCGTAGTATTACGGCGGATCCAAATGCACTATGCATACATATTCGAGTTATTTACAACGCAGCAATACAATGACAGCGAATTACTGCTAAATACTGCGGCGCGATTACGTTTTTTACAGCGTCCCGGGGTGTCGCTCCGGAAAAAAACAAACAAACAGATTACGCGCGCCATTATTGACGACGACGCGATTTTAATATACATTTTATCGCGAACCCGCCCCTCGGAGCTCTCCCGCCGACCTCCCACCACAACCACAATGTCAATATCACCGTGCGCATACGCTGCCCCTCCGGAGCTCGCGTCAGCGTCAGTTTATTGACATTATTTACGCTCGAGCGTACACAGCGGATGGCGGGGGGGGCCCGGATGGGAGGGTGAGTCTCTGCCTCGCATCGTCGTTTTCGCGATCGGCCGACGTAAAATAATACGTCCGCGGCGGTTTATTGTTATTGGAGTTATTATTATTTTTTATACGCATTGTACTTCATTAGCACAGGTCGCAAATCCTGACGAAAAGCATGCGCAGGATCATCGAGAAGTGCGTTAAGAATAAGCCGCAGTGGCGTGAAAACAAAAACCGGCAAAATAATTCGGTATGTAATGATATAAACAATATGGTAAGTATCATAATATAATATTATAAAATATTAATAATGTCAACACTAAATTTTATTATAATGGACACAACTTCAATTTATTAGTTTATAAATCAATTTAGATTAATACAAATAGTATGTATTATAGTTAAATATCTTATATAATAATAAAACATGATAATGAGAATCGGACAACACCACTCCACTATTTTCCCCTTTTCATCTCAAAAGAGACTTCTCCTTTCATTTCGACACTATTCTATCGCACTGGAAGTCGTCATCGGTTTACCGCCCGTCTTCATCAAGCGAAAATCTCGGGAGGTCGAACGATCGTTTTATATTTGAAGAACTAACATTATCATCTACTCCTACGAATCACCGTACATTTGGCTGTAAAACAACTTAAATGGATCCAAAGTCCAAAATGCCAATGGATCCAATTTTCAACAGGCCGTTTGAATATGGTTGGAAAAGAGAGGTGGTATATAGGACCAATGGAAATGCAATTGATATATATTACCGTACACCAGATAAAAAGAAACTAAGATCGAAACCGGAAGTACGTGAATATTTAAAGCAAAGAACGCGATTGAAAATAGAGAATTTCACGTTTAAAAGAAAAGCCCTAGGTTTAGACAATTCCAAGGAAATATGCAGAAACGCTTATTCAACTGAAAGAGCTGAAAATAATCGTGGTGGAAACGGTATAAATAATGAAAATTATTTTTAGAAAACCGAATTGTACAGTTAACTATTGAAGAGAAAAGCCCAATAATGACCGATCCTCTTCTACGAGTACTGGCAAAACTGTAGAATCAGATAAAGGTAGATTGACTGAAACAAATATGCGTTTAGATATTAACGGTCGGCGATTTCAGTTTAAAAAGAGATCAAATAAAGAAAGCCAAGCTAAACTAGCCTTTATTAATGATATAATATATGGTAAGAATTTCCCTACACAGTTTTATTGAGATAATAAAACTGTCAAATGATGGGGCAAAAGAAGATCTACCAATTGCTAAATCGCTTCATAAAGAATTACATTATTTAGACGATGAAAAATATACAAATGAAGCAAATGAACTTAACAATAGTTCATTCAAGGCAACCACATTATCCGATTTGTCACCATTTATGCGTGATCGAGATTACCCGATTCATATATGTAAGGAACTCATGGATAACACACTGCCGTCCAACGTAAAGCGGATACCTAATAATGGATGTCAATAGAAAATACCAATGAACAAAGCCAATTATTTGATACGATTAGAACCCAACCAAATTGCACAGTTAACTATTCAAAAAGAAAATCCTATTCATGTACAATCATATTCAGTTTCAGATAAACTTCCTTTATCTGATTCTACGGTTTCGCCAGTTCTCATTGAACAGGATTGATCGTTATTGGGTTTTTCTTCCTCAATAGTTATATGTACAATTAGGTTTTCTACATTACTTATACTATTTCCACCATGATTATTTACAACCCATTCAGTGGAATAAGCGTTTCTATATAATTCTTTGGAATTTTCGAAACCTAGCGGATTTCTTGTGAACGTGAAATTATCAATTTTCAATCGGGTTCTTGGCTTTAAATATTTCCGTACCTCAGGTTTCGATTGTAGTCTCTTATTATCTGGTGTATAGTAGTATACAACAACTGCATTTTATTTGTTCTATACACCATCTCTTTTTTCCAGCCAAAATCAAATGGCCTATTGAACTTTGGATCCATTGGCCTTTTGGACTTGAGATCCATTAAAATTGTTTTACAGACAAAACCACGGTGATTCTTAGGCGTAGACGATAAGATTAATTCTTCAAATACAAAACGATAGTTCGACATCCTGACATTCTCGCTTGATGAAGAAAGGCGGTAAACCGATGACGACTTCCAGTACGTTAGTATAATGTCGAGATGAAAGGAGAAGTCTCCCATGAGAAAGAAAGGGGAAAATAGTGGAGTGGTATTGTCCGGTTTTCGTTATCATGTTTTATTATTATATAATATATTTAACTGTAATACTTACTATTTGTATTAATCTAAATTGATTTGTAAACTAATACATTGAAGTGGAGTCCACTATAATAAAATGTAGTGTAGATATTATTAATATTTTACAATATTATGTTGAGATGTATACCGTTTTGTATATATCATTACATACGGAAACCTCTCGCCGGTTTTTTTTTTTCACGACACCACGGATCTTTCCCAACGCACTTCTCGACGAGCCCGCGCATGANATTACGAATGCACTATGCATACATATTCGAGTTATTTACAACGCAGCAATACAATGACAGCGAATTACTGCTAAATACTGCGGCGCGATTACGTTTTTTACAGCGTCCCGGGGTGTCGCTCCGGAAAAAAACAAACAAACAGATTACGCGCGCCATTATTGACGACGACGCGATTTTAATATACATTTTATCGCGAACCCGCCCCTCGGAGCTCTCCCGCCGACCCCCCCACAACCACAATGTCAATATCACCGTGCGCATACGCTGCCCCTCCGGAGCTCGCGTCAGCGTCAGTTTATTGACATTATTTACGCTCGAGCGTACACAGCGGATGGCGGGGGGGGGGCCCGGATGGGAGGGTGAGTCTCTGCCTCGCATCGTCGTTTTCGCGATCGGCCGACGTAAAATAATACGTCCGCGGCGGTTTATTGTTATTGGAGTTATTATTATTTTTTATACGCATTGTACTTCATTAGCACAGGTCGCAAATCCTGACGAAAAGCATGCGCAGGATCATCGAGAAGTGCGTTAAGAATAAGCCGCAGTGGCGTGAAAACAAAAACCGGCAAAATAATTCGGTATGTAATGATATAAACAATATGGTAAGTATCATAATATAATATTTTAAAATATTAATAATGTCAACACTAAATTTTATTATAATGGACACAACTTCAATTTATTAGTTTATAAATCAATTTAGATTAATACAAATAGTATGTATTATAGTTAAATATCTTATATAATAATAAAACATGATAATGAGAATCGGACAACACCACTCCACTATATTCCCCTTTTCTTCTCAAAAGAGACTTCTCCTTTCATTTCGACATTATTCTATCGCACTGGAAGTCGTCATCGGTTTACCGCCCGTCTTCATCAAGCGAAAATCTCGGGAGGTCGAACGATCGTTTTATATTTGAAGAACTAACATTATCATCTACTCCTACGAATCACCGTACATTTGGCTGTAAAACAATTTCAATGGATCCAAAGTCCAAAATGCCAATGGATCCAATTTTCAACAGGCCATTTGAATATGGTTGGAAAAGAGAGGTGGTATATAGGACCAATGGAAATGCAATTGATATATATTACCGTACACCAGATAAAAAGAAACTAAGATCGAAACCGGAAGTACGTGAATATTTAAAGCAAAGAACGCGATTGAAAATAGAGAATTTCACGTTTAAAAGAAAAGCCCTAGGTTTAGACAATTCCAAGGAAATATGCAGAAACGCTTATTCGACTGAAAGAGCTGAAAATAATCGTGGTGGAAACGGTATAAATAATGAAAATTATTTTTAGAAAACCGAATTGTACAGTTAACTATTGAAGAGAAAAGCCCAATAATGACCGATCCTCTTCTACGAGTACTGGCAAAACTGTAGAATCAGATAAAGGTAGATTGACTGAAACAAATATGCGTTTAGATATTAACGGTCGGCGATTTCAGTTTAAAAAGAGATCAAATAAAGAAAGCCAAGCTAAACTAGCCTTTATTAATGATATAATATATGGTAAGAATTTCCCTACACAGTTTTATTGAGATAATAAAACTGTCAAATGATGGGGCAAAAGAATTTTGCCCCATCAAGAAATCTTTTTTCCAGCCAAAATCAAATGGCCTATTGAACTTTGGATCCATTAGGTTTTTGGACTTGAGATCCATTAAAATTGTTTTACAGACAAAACCACGGTGATTCTTAGGCGTAGACGATAAGATTAATTCTTCAAATACAAAACGATAGTTCGACATCCTGACATTCTCGCTTGATGAAGAAAGGCGGTAAACCGATGACGACTTCCAGTACGTTAGTATAATGTCGAGATGAAAGGAGAAGTCTCCCATGAGAAAGAAAGGGGAAAATAGTGGAGTGGTATTGTCCGGTTTTCGTTATCATGTTTTATTATTATATAATATATTTAACTGTAATACTTACTATTTGTATTAATCTAAATTGATTTGTAAACTAATACATTGAAGTGGAGTCCACTATAATAAAATGTAGTGTAGATATTATTAATATTTTACAATATTATGTTGAGATGTATACCGTTTTGTATATATCATTACATACGGAAACCTCTCGCCGGTTTTTTTTTTTCACGACACCACGGATCTTTCCCAACGCACTTCTCGACGAGCCCGCGCATGATTTTCATCAAGACTTGCGTCCTGTGCTAATGAAGTTCAATGCGATGTAATGCGCGCGTAATAACGCGCGCAGTACGCACCGCGTCNATATATCATTACACACCGAAATCTCTCGCCGGTTTTTTTTTTTTTCACGACACCACGGATCTTTCCCAACGCACTTCTCGACGAGCCCGCGCATGATTTTCATCAGGACTTGCGTCCTGTGCTAATGAAGTTCAATGCGATGTAACGCG